CTGGTTGACAACTTCATACTACCTCGTACTTTTCAGTCACCAAGCGAGTCTCGACAGAAAATGGTACGGCAGTATTGCCGTCATTCGTTTGAACTCCTTCCACCTTAAACAGGACACAAGATAAACAACATAATCGCCCCATGATGAGCCAAGGGCTAGGAAGCTCTTAGGCATAATATTTGATCAAACAAGCAGCTCAGCTTACCCCAATATCGCAGTACAGTTTTTCGGTGTGGAAACGGACATGTACCGGGAAGAAGTGGTCTGCGTGACCATTGGGCACACTGAACTCCAAGGTCCCAGTCGAATTAGTGCTGAAAAGTAACCAAATGAGAAATGACAAAAGCACAGTCTGAATGACGTTAACTCCTACCTGTCAATAACTGGCATTGTCCAAACAAGCTGATTACGGCTTTTCTGATAATCGTAGGAGCCCTCGCATTCAGAGACTACAGGAACCGTAGCAGCACTGAAATTGAGTGTAACAGAACCGACTAAAGTTGGAGACTAAACTATTATTTAGAGAAATATTCGTTTAATTATTTGCCCGTTCCAGGATCTCTCGCTTTCTCACTCACAGAGCCAGAGGCAATAAGCGTGCTCACTACACAGTAACCCCTAAAGAAGGGTTAAGCCATAGCGCAACCCTAGATGTGGATCTCGCCATGCTAGAGTAATAACTTGGCAAACCAGGTGTTTTGGAGCCCAACCACCGGCTAGTCATTTTGGGATCCACATTTTTTAAAAATCTTTGATGAGTGTATATATAACAACTGTGCACACAACACATTATGAAGCCGTGAACATTAAATTCACAAACTGCATGATCAATATGTATACTTACGGCAGTGGAACTGTGATGACAACATTTTCCAATGAAAGATCTTCTCTTTGTAACGTATACTCGATGTTCACTTGACATCCATCAGCAGATTCTTGAGGCCAGCAGTTCACTTGAATGGAAAACAATTCAAAAACGTTGGTGAAAGTTGACGGTTTTTCGACTTGAGCTTCAAAAAAACTACAGCGAAGAAAATGTAAGGAATAATCTAAGATGTAGGGATGTATTGACTTACGTGCAAGAGGGAGCTGTTCTTCTTCAGTGAGCACCATTTTCCATTTGAGCACACCGACGTCGTTATTGACCGGGAACGGTTTTCCAGCTGACTTCAACTTGAGCATGTGAGAAGCCTGCCATTCCTTTTTGTCAAGATTTGGATGAACCTTAATCAGTACATTAGCTGTAAATTTTACTAAAAACCAGTTGACTTTAGATCCTCTAAATTCCGTCCCCGTAAAATACAAAAGTTGTAAAGGAAAAACTGAACTGGTACACCAAATCATTTTCAATCATCATCAATCACCAATCATCATCAACTAAGCAATTTGGCTAAACCCAACATCTACAGAATACTCAACATATTTTTAAAATCATGAAATGGGTAGAAAATTTGAAAATGATGTTCATGTCAAATGACTTCGCTTAAAACCACAACTTGTTAAGTGTTAACAAACCTGCAACTGGACTCCTGCCGGGGCTTTATTATGCATCTGAACAGAGACCGTATTGTACTCGGGAGAAGATACCGACAGCGATACTACTCCAAGAATCTATAACATTCTCCGATGAGCCTTTGCCTAGTAGAACAACATTCTTATATGGAAAAGTACCTCCACTCCTTGTAAACCTCCATCCCGGCTCACTGTGGCTACCATCTTTTCCTCGGTGCGGACGTGAACCGCCTCACGTTTCACATTAGATATTGGAG